GTATTTGTCCCTGTTGCATCTCAAATGCAACACTCACAAGATAATGGGGAATACAGAACATTCCACCTCAATCAATCACAGTGACATCATCTTCCTCCATCTCCTCTTCATCACAGAAAACAAGATCAACATATCTTGGCTGATGCCCATCCTTAGCAATGTCACCTTCATCCAAGAATTCTTCCATGTATGCATTTGACATACGTGGTTCAACATGTAGTACTTCTCCAAATCTAGACTGAACAGTTTTTTTATTTGATATGATGTTGATGATTTCAATATCTGGCTCCTCATCCTCAGCTGAAGATGATCGACTTCTAGATGGGCACATGTTCTGGGGGATGGATGAAGTTTGCATGTTCTCATTAATGGTTTGTGAAGAAGCATGATGCACGGATTTGAAATTCCAATGTTTTGTTCTGTAAAACTGCTTTGTAGATAGAGAACCCTGATTAGATGAACTTCTACGGTCTTTTTTGAAGCCTGATGAAGAAGATGAAACATTTCCCCTGCCTTTCTTTGTGCTTGGTGAAGAAGAGAACATGTTTTCATCCTCTTTCTTTATGTCTGATGAAGATGACAGATCTTCATTGCTTGTCTTTTTCTTTTTTGCACAAGTAAGAGACACCAGAATGTCCTTGCATTCAGGACATGTGAATTTCCAACCATGCCTAAGTCTAGCACATTTGCGATGCACTGCTTGTGCACCACACAGCTGACACCTTGCAAGCGTAAAAAGAGCATCACTAGCTTTTGCACTGTACCTACGACCCCTTGAGCATACACAAATAGCTGCAGAACATGGTGGAAGTGCTCTGAGTTCCTGGAAGGCATTTCCTTCAGTTTCCCAGGAAGCATCACGTTCAGGTATGAAGACTCCATGTTTTTTCATGGTCTCCTGGAATACCTCTTCTTCATTGCACAGAGGACATCGATAGTGATAACTTCCAGCATGGAATGCTTGCTTCTGCAAACAATGTCGATGAAATAACTCCCTTTTGCAACATTCTGCATAAATGATATCTGCTCTAAGAGGTGGAAGAATACAACATAGGCACAAAGGACACTCTTTTCCCCTTGTGTTCAAGTCCTCCAAAATGTGATCGGGAATATCCTGTTGGGGACGATGTTGTTCACAATAACAGGGGTAACAATCAGAGAAGCCAAAAGTAGCCCCAGCCTGCACTGCACATGGAAAATGAAACTTCTTCTTGCATTTCTTTACACTACAGCCCAAAGTGGCACCTGTTTTTAAACACTTGGAGCATCTCAATTTGGATCCTCTTGCCACCTCCTTGCATATATCTTTGGGCATAAATCCTTCAAATCCTTCATTATCTTTTCCATTTTGAAGAAGACCACATGAGAACAGAAGACAGAAGTGATGTGCTGCAATTTTATCTTGAGGACTCATGAAAAATCTTCCATAGTTGACTTCATCATTGAGACATAGGCCACATAATACACACTTTTGCTTTTTAAAGTGCATACCACCAGAATCATTTACCTCCATGGCAGGATGTTCAGCATACCATCTGTAGCAGAAAAGAGACGTTAGTTCTTTAGGAGGTCAATCTGGCAATTTTTGCAGAAGAGTGTACTATACCTGTTTTAGGCCAAATAATGTCACAGTCCTTCTGGTAGGTCAACCACCAGGTGAGCTTACACATGTCTGGATTTTTATGACAATAAGCACAAAGGCAAGATATCATCTCTCAATTTACATAGCTAAGGGGCAGGTCCAGTATAGTAAGAATCAAAATCCCAGGAAAGGAAAATGGTGAAAGTTTCCCCTTAAGAATAATATTTAATATGGATAAATTTTTTGGAAATAGTAAAAAAAAAATTGGAAATAGTCAATCAGTCCACAACAAAATGGGGTCATTTTCCCTTCAATTGGCCAAAAACTTATAACTCATAAAAGGTTCTTCAATTTCTAAAGACACCATCTACTCTGGTTTGTCTGGTCTGGATGATACACCTTATGCAGTGGGAAAAGATTTGGTGACAATAGTTGAATAGAGTCCAAGACTAACCATAGGATCTAGTTGAGACACATATTCTATGCTGATAGCAATAAGGATGAGGTTTCACCTACTCGGTATTCACCTGGTGAAGCTCACTCCCATAGGCAAATGAAACACAAGAACTATTGCAAGTACATATGGACCTTTAAACTGATACTGCTAAGGAATTAAAATATAATTCTTTTGGGTCATCTTCCCACACATCTGCAGTCAAGAATGGCTTAGCAAAGAATGAAAAAGGACTTTGGAATTACACACATGTAAATGAACAAACAGGGCCATGAGCAAGTGCAATAAGAATATCCTAATTTTTTTCAGCCATGAACCCTTTAAATCAAATAAGGTACTCTGCAGGAATACAAAAAAATGCAAAATATTTGTTTAAAAAAATTGTTTGCTCACTTTGACCTAAATTTAGTGATTTAAGGTGGATTTGAGAGAATTTTGATAGATGTTACCATATCCATGATGAGCTTGCACCAGCATTGCCCAGAATATAGGCAAGTGGTGGGAGCATGAAGGCACCTAGTGTGCATTTTCTGTTGCCTCATACATTTTTTGGGTAGATGGGAGCACAAGCTCAGGCTTGAGGCTTCATACACCTCTGAGCCATTCATTTTAATAGATTTATAGATGCCAGGAAATGGTATCCCTCTGAGAAGTAAAGGGTTAAAAGCTGTACCAAGGTTGCCAGATGTACCACACTAAACAATTACAATTCTCTATAAGGTGCAACCACTGAAATACCCAATAGCAAGTACATGCAACAACTGAACTTAAGCTGAAGGTGAGTGAATGGTTTCAGTTTTTCCTCTATCAAGAAAGACAAGCATGATGCAATTTTTTAAAGATGAAATATAAGAATATTTATGATAAGTTAAATGCGTAAAGTCAGTTGGTAGTTGAAGTGGATATTTTAACCCAGAAGTGACTAAATCCGAAGTGGAACACTTCAATGCAAAGATAAAGAGATTGGGGTCAATATTGATCCTGTATACATATTTCTAATCAGTAGAGGTATGTATCACACAGTGGAAAAGTTCTAATTTCCTTAAAATCATACCAAAGATTTGAGACAGCATTGCAGTCACTTTGCTTTCATATTTACCCAAAGTGACTCTTAAAAATGTTTACAGCTAACCTGACTAAGAGGACATGCATAGATAAACTGTATGGCAACACTACTGCATATATTGCAAAACTTGAGTATCTGCTCTCTTGGAACTTCAACTTCAACCATGTGCAATTATAATCACTTGTAACTGCATACATATCATAATTATCTAATCAAATCCTATTTAGTGCTGCCCATTATTAGTGAGAGGTGTACCTATGCGCAAAGAAAAGTGTCAGACATGACATTGTGAACCCTCAAGTTAGTCACTTGCTCCAATGTTCAAATATCTATCATCTAGCAGACCCTAATAATTTAGTTTCATGTTCATTCTAAAGAATGAATGAAAGCCTGGAATTAGTGTAAGTCACCCCGAGATCACAACACTTGAAACAGAAAGTAAGCCTATTTTGTGATGGTGTCGGATGTGACAAGTTCTGAAAATGTATTTTGAAATGGGAAGTCTGTACATATCTTTTAATTTTATTTTGAAGAGATCATTCAAATGTGAACAATTGACATCTACTCTTCACACCTGACCTAATTTGAAATTATCAGTATGCATGGAAAGCCCATGCTGACACCTGTTCCAGTAGTCCAAATCAGTCTCTTAGAGATTTGCATTTTCATCCCATTTTTCAATATCATGAGAATGGTATTAATAATATATCATACTCATGACTAATTCTTTCTTTTTCCATCAAAGAAAAGGAAAGAATTTCCATCCACTCATAAAATGGATTTCTGTTCCTTTCCAAGCAAACCCAAAGTAAAAATGATTTTGGGAGGGAGGGGGGATGCATCCATGGACTTGAGTGCTTCTCAAAATTCATGCAAGGGTATTCCAGCTGGAACAATGAGTAGTCATCTTATAAAAATGCCTACAAACCTCCTGGTTCCATCTTCAAATTCAATTTGCATACTAGCTGGATCTGCTTTCTCATTCCATCTTCATACCAACTAGAACCATGTTCCTTTTTGCATATGGGATCAGCTTAAAACCAAATAGTTTCTGATGGTATTTGGGTGGTGTACACAACAGGTTCCAGATGGTTTTACCATACAGAATATTTGACAGGACATTTTCCATTTTGCAAAAAAAATACAAGTCATGCCCTAGTAGAGCCTTCCAGAGGGTATGGGCAAGACATGAATAGTGCTAATCCTCTAAAGAGTAAAAGAACGGCCCCAGGGGCCAGATTTGGCCTAATTATGAATAGAGAGTGATCCATGGTGGAGTCTTAATATTGATTCATCAATACATGGATCACAATAGAGAACAAAGAAAATCCGATGGCAGTAGTCTAGCCTCCTTTAAGGAATTTGGAAGTTAAGACCCCTTATACATATTAGACATTCAGCTTGAGGGAACTGAGTCTTACAAATGCAAGCAACTTAGTGAAACTGTCTGAAACATACGGGCTACCCTTTATCACTGCACACCGACGGATCGGTGAATGGCACATATCACTGCTTTGAAAGTGTTATAACGGCCTATGCCTCTAATAACTCCAGCGTAGCCTTTCTGCCAGCCACGAACTTTTACATTATCAAGTGCATTGTCTTTGAATCGCCGCTCACCTCCGGCGGTTGTGCACTCCCGCTTGGAAAGCGGGTGGAGATGGACAATCCTGTTGATAACAGGGTTGAGCTGGGAGTACTCATTCTGGACAGCATGAAGTGCAACATGTTAAATACTTTTTGGATGAGGAATGAGAGTCATGAATCATAATTCAGAGAAAAGATATCCAGTCAGTGAATTCAAACAGATATACCGCGTTAATTCTGAACACAAATCTCCATTAGGGATAGTGACCGAAATACTTCTGGCAACCCTGACCCTCCTCCGTTGAAAGATTCTAATGGCGACTTACTGCCGCTGGGTTTTTCTGGATCGAACAAAAACAGGGAGAGGCACTGTGGATGTGAGAGAATTCACGATGCGTAAATGCCGCAAGTAGCCTCACCTCGCCTTGGTGGTTCATAACTTGCATATCGTGATTATTTGGAGTGGTATCCAGTGATATGTCAGGGAAGAGGGACGGATATTCTGGAGGCAACCTAGCTCCATCTGCACCTGCAGCCTTCCCCATCGAATCTATGAAAGTAATTGGGGAGTCCATTGGAGTATCTCTCAAAGAGGATGCTGGCAAGGAGTTGGCTGATGATATCACCTATAGGGTCAAGCTCATCGTCCAGGTAGGCTAATTGTAATGAGCTAGTTGCTGATGGTATTGTATGGTACTCTTCTTGTGCATCAGTTCAGAGCATGTTCACTTTTTGAGTCATTTGGTGCAATGTTCATGAAGCAGGATTTAATATGAATAATGCTGTGGCATGCTTTTCTGATGCACTTCAAAGATCAAATGTTATGATCTGCAAATAATTGAAAGAAGACAAAAATATTTGTAAATTTTGTGATTTCCTGACTAATCAAAGGAGATGTTCCAATGTGAGGAAAATGAAAGAGAAAACCTAATGTATCAAAACTACAGTTTTCAATGCACAGAAACATTTCATGAGCATGATCAGTTTTGGTAGCCCTTGTCCTGGCTGGGTAAAGATGAATTTTAGATAAATTTCAAACAGTTAAAGATAAATTTTATTTAGTATAAGGCTATTTGTGAACTCATTACTAGCACTAAGTTGTTTCTATTATAGAAATGAGAGGAATTCTATATTGTAATCACTTAATGACACAGGGAATGCAGAGTATTCGGGTGTGTAATTGTCAGTCTTTTCATTGCTTTAAATGTTGTATGATACTCATTTCAAGGTGAGATAACTACTCGCTATGGTCCCAAGATCGTGCAAGTTTACAACATACAGGGTTTCCTTTGTGTATGCTATAAAAACCAGTCCTTCAATCTTGGATAAGTTATAGATTTGTTTTCATCCCCACGAATATACTTATAGTCATGCTACAACAATCATCATGCCATAGACAAACACTGATGGTAAATAATTTAAGAGTGCCTCTCCCAATTCTCAAGTTTCATCTGGTGTATGAAACCCACTCTTGGATTTTCTCGTCAAAGCATGATTTCAGATGTGATGTTACATTTCATATGTTGTATCCATTCAGTGTATGTGTATAAAATATAGGAAGTTTTTGTAGGACATGGTGCAATCATCTTGAAGAGCAGTCACATTCATTTGTATTCACTTGCGTATAGGATTAGGCTTGCAATGATTCATGGACATTACAACTGTTATACTTAGTCTAAATATTTATCTCCCTGGGCACTTGAAGGTTCCTTCGGGTAGATCCATGCCTGCTGGTATGTCTTTTATATAGTTAATATTGACCTTTTATTTGTGGCTAAAGTATTTTTTGGTTGAATTTGTATCCACACCTAAGGGAAGTGCCATTATTGCTATATAAATTCAGTCCAAGAAGATTGTAAGAAGTTTTCCAGAATGGTGCATGTTATTCATTGCCAATAATGTCAGGGTTCACATTACTAACTGGCTGTTGCAAGTCTCTGACTCATATTTTCTTGGAGGGACCCTAATTTTCAAAACACACAAGACCATGGGACTCATTGACAACCATCTGAACATGTTTCCTCTGAGCTGAAGCTATGCGCCAGGATTCAAGATTTGAAAAAGCTAGTGTGAACCCTGGGTATATCATATATAGACTAGCCCCATGAAAACTCCAAATTTTTTTCAGTTTTTGGTTCATTGATTTTATCCATCATTCTAGGATGCAATGAAGTTCATGGTCCATGGGAAGCGGAAGCAGCTCACAACAGAAGATATTGATAACTCCTTAAAACATAAGAATGTGGAGCCTTTATATGGAGTGGATGCAGTAGAGCACATCCCATTCCGTTTTGCCTCTGGAGGTGGACGGGAACTCTACTTCATTGAAGAGAAGGAACTGGAGTTGAATGATGTTGTCAATGCTTCTCTCCCCAAATTGCCTCTTGACACCCATCTCAGGGGTAGGTCAGACCTGGAGGAAGGTCTACATGGTACATTGCTTGTAGCATGGGGGGGATTGTATTCAAGCTGAAATTCTTGTGATGTTTCATGTAACCACTGCCTAACGAATGTCAATGCCCTTTTTTTTTCAAATGCACAACCTCTTATTTGAGAGCCACAAGTGTGTTATAATCTCATAGTGAAAGAACCTTTGAAGCCATGAGTGATTATAATCTGCTGAAACAAAACTTGTCAGGCCCTATGGAGGTATATGCATGTAATCTGCATTGGCTCCACTTGCAATCACCATTGATGAGACTATTGAGGGGAAGCATTCAAATGTCATTGGTAATGTTCATTTGAGAGTAAAAGGAAAAAGAAATTTGTGTTGGGTTGAAAAATGGCAGAATAACGGGTGGATTCCAGTTTGTAACACTGACTTATTCACTGCTTTGTTGAAACCTAAAATCAATTAACTGTGAAACTTACGTTTTGCATTTATCCAATGCTGACAAGATGTAACACAGTCTATGCTTAATTTTTTTAGTAGTACTGCCCTCTTCCACTGGATACAGGAAGCATTAGATAAACTGGAGGAACTCCATTGGAAAAAGAAAGCTCAATTTGGATTTTGATATTTGGTTCAAAAAGGAATAAACTTGCCTTGCAGCTCATTGGCTAGCTATTGAGGGGACACAGCCATCAGTTCCAGAAAACCCTCCTCCACGCGATCGAGAGCAGCAGAAGAAGGAAGCTGTGGACCCTGCATCCAAACTCCCCAAGCCTGGCACAAAGGGAAAGCCTGGCCCTCAAAACATTGGGTGTGTTCATTCTCCTTTAGCTGTCTGCCAGAGGGCAATTATCAATATTTTGTTATGTTGTTATGAAATACAAGTAAGATCGATCTATATTGGATAGGTTATGTCCATACAACTTTATGAACCTCATGATGATTCCTAAAGCAATAATGTAGCTTTATTTTATTTTTGTTCAAGACATGAAAACAATTCATTAATCAATCTTCAAATAAGTTAGAGGAAATGAAGCATTCCTTTGCTGAACCTTTCCTGTTCATGATTATGCTAGAGAATGGGTCTCTTGACATGCTTGTAAGAGTGTCCTATCCTCAAAGGATTTCATACATAGACATCATTGTCCCATATATTGGGCCTTTTCCTTGTGGAGTATTTATTTGCCTGTAATTCTGTTGACCTGCAAGATTCTTCACATGTATTATGTTAAATTTTACTGGTAGTTTCTCTTTGCTTCTTCAACATTCCTTGCTTCTCTGGAGGAAAAATACCTCAGTTGCATGTTCAGAGAGGTAGTTGAAGAGATAAAGAGACTACTTTTTCATCATCAGCTTGCTCCTTTGGATAGTTAAGATGTAAGCTACTCCTGCCCATCCCCTTGAGTATAATTTCTCAAACATAGTGTACTTCTTGATTTGTCACAGTAAAGCTCAATTGATTGGATGCATAACACTTCTTTTTTTTTTTTAGATAGACCAAGTGACTGGATGCCCATATCAATCCTTCTAAATGTGTAATGTTATTATTTTATTTAAATAGGAAAGTGAAACCACAGAAAGTGGAGGAAATGGTGAGGGTGAAGGACTTGGCCACTCATGAGCTTTCAGTGGAACAGCAACTCTACTACAAAGAAATCACCGAGGCCTGTGTTGGCAGTGATGAAACTCGAAGATCAGTAAGTCACGTATATGCACTATGTTCTCTGCAGGTTGAATCCAATGAGAATCAAACTTCCACTTTTTCTGATAGCACATTGGTTGCCATGAGGATCAGTGGTGATATTCAACTGTTATACATTGCCAGGTCTTGAGTATCTCCCGTGATCCTCAAATGTGCTTCTTTGATATAGTTAATGCATCCCAGTGGTTTGTTGTATATTACTATTGAATATGAAAAGTTCAGTTGTACTTTGTATTGTTGATTATATTGAGGAGGTTAATGAAAGAACTTGTTTGCTTAACCAAGTTGCAGAAGTAATTGGTTAGGACTTCTATAGGCTTTAGAAAAAAATAGAATTTTCAATTGATGAAAAAAAAATTTTGTTTTACTTTCATGTTTCATGTGTCTGTACTGTGATTTTCCCTGCATAACTCAGGAATTCCATTAACTGACTGGATGGGCTTAGTTATGAAACACATTAGCCTGTGTTTCGTTGTGAAATCAATAGAGCTGACTAAACTTGCAAGAAATATATTGATGACTTTCTTATATCCTGTAGGAAGCCTTGCAGAGCCTGAGCAGTGATCCAGGGCTCCACCAGATGTTGCCTCGTCTGTGTACATTCATTGGGGAAGGGGTGAAGGTGAATGTGGTGCAGAACAACCTTGCCCTCCTCATCTATCTCATGCGCATGGTCAAGGCCCTCCTTGACAATCAGGCTCTCTACCTTGAGCGATATGTATGCTTTGTCTCCATATATCTTTCCCATTTTATGCTTTCTAGAATCACAAATTGCTAGCCTTGAACTCTCAACTTGGTCTAATCTCTCAAATTGATTATCTTAAGTATTTTTGTAGTTTTTTTTTTAGTCACTCCCAGCCAGGCATAAAAGTATCTTCAAGTATACTGCAAAGAGGGTGTAGGGGCTGACGAAAATAAAATATTACCACATTTACTTGAGTATAGTTATACATTTTCAAATGTCAGATTCAAATTCATTCACAAATGTATTCGAACAAAGTGGGTGATATATTTCATCTGGACTGTGCATTTTCCTTTCAGTTACATGAGATAATACCAGCAGTGGCTACCTGCATAGTGAGCAAGCAGCTGTGCATGCGACCAGATGTGGACAACCACTGGGCGCTGCGAGACTTTGCTGCACGACTCATGGCCCAAATCTGCAAGAATTTCACCACTTCCTCTAACAATGTCCAGACACGCATCACCCGAATGTTTACACGTGCACTCCACAATGACCGAACCCCATTCTCCTCCAAGTATGGTGCTTTGGCTGGTGAGCACCCATTCTTTGACAGCCTGATCCAAGATTTGCTTATGAATTGGTGGAAGTTTATAAGCTTGTCTTTATCTGTTTTTTTTTTTTTTTAGCTTAACAGTTGTTAAGTTTAATTTTCATAAGGTTGTTGTGTGTTTCGACACCTGCCACCAGTCAATTCTCAGTTGTTGAGTTTGTAGACATTTGTGGTCAAAACTGACTTTATTATTGACCAATATCGGATGCTGAGGCTGATAAGTGACTAGGTATAGTATAGTAAAAACATAATGAAGCTGCGTGTGTGCTTATGAATCCTTCAATTTAGCCTTCTAACACACAAGGCCTACGATGCTATGCCATTCCAGGCCATCCACAGCCTAAAGTGCCAGGCCTATAAAGCTCTGCCATTGTAGGCCATAGGCTAGGCCATAAAAACCTTGGTATACTTTTAATTTATTAGACATCCAGTTTATATTTATTATTATTATATGATTATATTATTGCCTTACATCAAATGTCTTAAAAGGGAAAATGTCATGAAATGATTCTCAAGAAGTAAATACATCAGCAACTAGTTCCTTATTTACTTTATTTTAATCAAATTCTTCTGCAAAATAGGCTTTTGACATCATTCAGTGTCATGAAGATTGCATTGTCCTGTTTCTAGCATGTGCTTGGGGAATTAGATCTGCACTACATCTTCATATACAGGGTGTTCGAAAAGTCACTTTGCAGTAGAATTCATTTATTTTGTTGCATGTATTTAGTATTGTACTGTGTATCACATGTATTGCATCATCAAAGACATGAATTTCCACTCAATACTTCATCAAATATTAGCACCATCCCCAATTCACATAATTTATTGTCTGTAATTCCTAGCTACAGTGAGGCCTCCTACATCAAGTCATGAATTCTACTGTACAGTTGAACACCCTGTATAACAGTCCATCTCTTGCTTCCATTAATTCTGGGACTGCATTCATTAGTTACAAAGCTGATATTTATTTCAGGTCATTTATATTGTAACAAGTGTAATTGGAAGCTCAAAAAGACACAGCAAAGTGAATTGGCTTTCTTTTCTTTTAGGTCTCTGTGAGTTGGGTCCAGAGGTGATCAAGAATTTGGTCCTACCTAAGGTGTACTCAGAGGGGGAGCACCTTCGTGCAACTCTGGAGAACCCCAATACCATGCTGGTGAACAGTGTTGAGCGTGTTGGAGCAGACCGTGTCCAGCAGTTGTACATTGTTAGTCTCATTGTATTCCTCTCTCATGAGTGGGATTCCTATGTTCCATGTCGTGCACACTGCATTTTGGCACACATATTCCAGATTCCATGTACAGCTGATAAACTTGAGCACAAGCCCTGGTTCTTACTGCATTTTTGACTCTTCCATTCATGCTTGAAATGATCTCATTTCACCTTTTATTTATTTTTTATTCTGACTTGGGCATGCCAACTATGCAATATTGCATGTGCCCCTTCTATTAGAAATTCTCTGATGTGTTTTATATCGGTTTTGCTAGAAATTCCTGCCACCAGTATTGAAGACCCTGCGAAACCCACCTGACAATCTGGAAGAGTACAAGGCAGAGTTTGGGTATTTGGGGAACGCCCTGCATTCAGGTGTGATGCGGGCTCGAATGCAGGGGGCTAGCCAGTCCTCTGCAGGCTCAGGAACAGCTCATTTGGGGGGTACCAACCTTGGAGGCATGCCCACTGCCTCCAAGTCCCATCCCTCTGTCTCTCCTCGTATCATCCAAGGTAAATCTCTTGTATCAAGCAGCATGGAATACTGTTTTTTTCCCAGAACTGGAAACATCAGAGGAATAAAGTTGTTTTCAAACATCAGGAAGGAGTCAAGGCAACTGCCACAGAAGGGAAATTGAAAAGCATGCATCAAAATGCAACTCAAGAAGGAATCAAAATTAAATCCATGATAGGTTGAGGAAAGTGGAGGTCATAGAAACCTAAGAAAAGTTTTTATAGGCCCTTTGACCTCCACATTCAAATTTGATAAAGGACCTTGTCAAGATCAGTTGCAAAGTTTGGTGGTCTTAAATTTACTAATTCTCATGTCCTGGGACAACAATAAAATTAGAGTGTGCAAATTTCACAAATTCAAAGCTAAGAATGAATTATGTGATAGATTATGCCCTAAGAGCAATATAGAATGACACTGATGGAATGAAAATAGCTTGCTAAGAATTTAATTAGGGTAAGGCAGGTTTGTTAATAGGACCTGTTTGTTACAGGGAGTGTGGGACAGGGTGGAGGCCGGAGTGGAGGAGGGGTTGTGATGACTAAGATTGGAGTTCCGGGTGCAGGACCCATGGTCTCTGCCAATCCCAAATATGTATTTGTTGCACCAAGTGCAGGGACACCCTCAGGGACGCCTTTTGCTTCTCAACAGGTCCTTCTATACATTTCTCACTTGATGTGTCAGACTTTTTTATTTTTTCTTTGTGCATTAACCAATGAGCTTGAAGAAGTATTTTAATATGCCTTTCCAAAAATACTGAGGAGTGGAGGCAAGTAAAGGAGAAGTTGTTTGCCGGAACATATCCTGAGCTCCAAGGCTGTCTGGCCCTTCTTCTTAACCTTTCCTTTCCTCCACATCTCTCTTCCAATTCTGGGCCCTTCCCTTGCTTTATGTGAGGGGTATTCCCAGGATCCTTGTAAATAGATTGAGTTATTCAATCGGCTTTTTCTTGGTAATGTGAGAACTGTGTTCAGGCAAAAATCATTTTTAATTGAAGGTACTGAATAGTGTTTGGAATGTAAGGATGTTGAATGGCATTCTTCCACATTTCCTATGTTTCAGGTGATGCAGTTGAAGGGTCTGATGAAGCCAGACTTGACAAAGCCCTGAGACACGGCACTGATCATTTCTGCTCGCATTAGCTCTCCCTATCTCCAGTTCTTACTTTTATGTCAGAGAGTAAACATTATGTTGCATCCACTCTGTGTCCTTTTGTTGGTCATTAGGAGTTGGTGGCTTTGCAAATAAATGTATTTCTGATTGAAATACAAGAAATTCCCTGGTGTTGATTTCCAAATCTAGTGAAGAAGGTGGTAGTACAGTGGTAGTTGACTGCATAGTAGTACTGCTAAGAAAATCCTTCCCATTCATTTTTTATTTGTCTTGATAGACAGCACCTTCAGCAACACTTACCATTTGCTGAATATGTGACGACCCTTGGCCTGTTGCTTCTTTTCACATGTTGTCCAACATCCATGAAGCCCAAAATAAAACTTTTCCCATATCTCAGGTTTGAATACAATTTTAGGAAATGTGGTGTTACCAAACAAATTATTGTTGTTTCATTAGTCCAGTACAGATTCTACTGCACCCTCTGGTAACCAGAGCTGGGCAAAATGCAAGTGATTGAGTATAGAAATACAAAACACAAAATTCAACCCCATAACATTTTTTCAAATACAATATGCATGTTCATGCATGCATGCTAATAATAATTACAGTTGAAAATTGAAAAAATTCAAAAGTTTTCAAGTTTACATCATGCCTTTCAGATTTTGTCCAAAATCAGGAACCCTTTAGGAGTTCTGACCATTGACCTTCAACAGCACATTGGCTGAGGATGGTATTCTTTGTTTTCCTTTCTGAATCCCAGACTGCTCCCACTTGTACCACGTACTGTTCATAATTCTCAACCAGCTCTGGATGTGCTCTCTGAAAGAAAAGAACAGAAATATTAACTCATATTGGCAAGATTCGAGCTTGTACTAGGCGTAGGTCTAAAGATAGCCAAAATGTCACAAATCAGAAACCTTGCTTATGCCAAGGATAGGCTAGGTCGGCATATTCACATCAATATATTGCAACACCATCGGCCTTCAAATGCGTGAAGTTGTATGCAGGGCCGCCCAGAGGTTTCCAGGGGCCCGGAGCAAAACTAAACCGGAGACCCCTTGAGGCCCTTTGGAGGCGTCCCTTGGGACCCCTTGATACGAGGAGCCCGGGGCAGATTGCCCCAATTGCCCCCCCCCCCCCCCTCCTCTGGGTAGCCCTGGTTGTATGTTGCAGTGAGAGATCCACATACCACTTTCTCTGTGGGGCATACAGCACATTTGACTTTGACCTTCTGGCCCTCTGTTCAACAATGCTGAAGAATTTCCCATCCAGTAAAGAAGGCAAGCCCTCTGAGGTACCTCGTAGCTATGTTCGGAGTTACACTTAACCAATTAAGAGTTTTTTATATTTTCCACTCGGGAACTGCGACACTGTTCTCTTGCATTTAATGTGACCTTTCCATATTATGCTTTTTCGGTTTAAGGATGGGGCGCGTGCTCCCACTGGCCCCTTGCCGCTGTTCATAACTAAAACTTTTGATTGCATAAATGGCTGACATGCTAAAACAGGACAAACAAGTTTTGCTGTGATAAACCAACCATAAACGGAACACAATATGTCATAGCCCAGTCCTTTGAAATTCGAATGTGTCATTCTCACCACAACCACAGATGTTTTAGATAAAGTATAAAATGACTAGGTGATTCACCCTACTTTCTAAATGTTATATTCGCGTGATCACTTTCAGCACGCTGAAATGTAAGGCCTTCAATCTGCGGATCTGGGAGAGATGAAGAACCCCAATTGAGAATCTTACCTATGGGAAACACCCTGCTCAAAGCTACGATTGCATAAGCAATTTTTGTTATGCATTGAAACGCAATCAAATTATTGCAGAGCCCTTCAGATGTTGTCCAGCCCTTATTTTGTGCCCAAACCTCTCAGTACTGAAAACTTCACTCGAGATCGTATGTGCATCCTTGATTTGTGTGCTCATCTATCTGTTTAGGAACACCAATTTCCATGAAAGTCACCCACGTGACCCGTAACTCGCCCAGCCCAATAAATCCTCCCTGCCGAAACGCCAGAAACTCCGACGCATTCCTCCGAAAATCGTCGTATGGAGTGAAACCCAGCCGGATCCGCTTCTCCCTCCTCCTTCGCGCGCCTTCCCGCCTCCCGGGAACAGTCTCGTCCCCGGCGCGGGCAGCGGCCGCATTGCCGAGCCTTCGTCGAAAGCAGCAGGTTCCTCCAGGCTCCTCCTGCTGCTTTTCGCCGATGCGATTGAGAAGAACTCCGGAGGGATTTCTCGTGGGTTCGACGAAGTTCTCGGTGAGAAGTTGCCTGCATGGCATTCACGCAGGATTCAGGAAAAAGCCCTTCGGCTTCATTTTATTACACCGGCAATCGACATTGCTGAAAGAGTTTATTCTTCCGCATCGTGAGGGGTTTTTCATTCTCGATTTGCGGGGAATATACGTTGTTAAAGGGTCCGTAAAGCCAGCAAATGGAGGAGTATTTCCGTTTAAGTTCGGTCATTTCAAACCAAAAGCGTTCAGAAGCTGACCTGACGAACCAAGTCTCCCCATAGAAGCTCGTTACATGGAACCGCGAAATCCGGACCCGGTTTTTGCACGTTGCAGCTCCGTCAGCTGACGAGTGGTGACACGCCTCGACGAGTTTATCGCAATCTCTAAGTCTCCGTTTCGCCATCGCATGTTCTTTTCGTGCCCCCGTCACGATGTATCGTTCTGGATATGTGTTATAGACATACAGAAATTGTGGGAGTTTTTTTTCGCTCCTTGAAGCGGTTAAGGATCGACAGAAACGGGAAATCCGAAACCCTCTTATGCAATTCGATTCGTCAAGAGCCCTTTCTTCCGAACATTATTCCGAAGGACCAAGTCATTGCTATAGCCAAACGACGTCACGATGTTGAGAATTCCACGCTCCGCACAGCCCTTCGCATCCGGCGGGAACCGCTCCTTCGTCATTCCCTCGATGGCGTCTCATTGTTGCTGTGAATCGGGATATGGGCATGACGAGATGAATGTCTTGCAAGTTCTCGTCGTGCATGACACGAAGACGTGTAATATGAGCGGTCAGAAAATTTACCTCAATCGTCACGTTTTACGTATGCAAATATCAAGTAATCTTACATCAGATGTGAAGTTAAGTGATTGTCCCGAGAAGAAAATATTACGTTATATCCAAGTCAGTCGTATCAACTTAGATTCATTCATTCAGGATCGATGGAAAAGTCAAGTCCGGCTAATTCGTGCTGATTTAATTAATGCTAATTAGCACGTATGCCCTTCCCGAGCAGCCATGCGTGGATCATCGGTTGGGGTTTTCCATAATTTCCTCGGTGTGACTCGCCTCTTCCAGCCTCGATGCAAGCGGCCAGAGAGAGAACGTTCCTGCAGATCCAGCCTTCCTTCTTACCGCGACGGGTGAAGAGAGAGAAGATTCTCTCTTGCATCTTCCACAAAGACGATTGTGTCTGCTGGAGATTGCAGTGACGTCATCGACGGTTTGGAGGAATGGAGTCGCTGCTGCTCGAGGACAGCCGTAGAGTCCATCTTTTCCGACCGGTTTTCTTTCCCGCTTTTAACAGGTGAATATGCATTTCTCGGGAGAAAGATGTTCTATGGAGAAAGTGGGCTCAACTTTTATCAGCCGGACGCTTTCGACGATCGTCACTTATTCCCTTCCCGTCCCAGCGCGGTTGCATGATGATTTTCGAAAGTCTCCGACCCTCCCGATGCGTGCAAGATAAGTGCAATGTCGGTCCGGTCTTTATGCACTTCGTCACGGAAGGCTTTAGACACCCTGCTGATGCAGGGCTATGACCATCGATCTGCTAAGTAGAGCAGGGTTTACTGTCGAGACTGATGGTGGCGTGCACTGGATCCGTTCGTCTCAAACTGACTTGATTTCATAATGGATTTCTGTGGGGAGGATTTTCGGTGACATGCAGCAGACCTAGGTAAACTAAACTAATCCGATCTCATAATAGTCATCTTTGGAAATCGTTTTGACGGAGATAATCTTATTCCCATAGACGCTCATTGTGAGACCAGATCAGATTAAAGTTAAATGGGTCCAGTGCATGTCGTCCGTTATCTTCTTCGTTAAACCGATTTTCAGAAAGGATCATTATGAAATGAAACCAATGTGGTGCCTGGCACCCTCAATTATGAGAAGTTAAACGAAATAGTCAGCTTTCAGGTCTTAACTGCAAAACAAAATCTCGACGCCACGAGCAACGACAGGGGGAGGTGAAGCAACGGGTGCGATGTGGAAATCGAGTTTGTTTGAATAAAGGCGAATCCTGAAGAAACGCGAATCCGATTCCGACTCGTCTTCACCGCAGCACTTCTTATCCCCTGCCGTCATCTGGCCGTCATCTCTCGTCGCGTCAGCTGCAGCCACCGAGGCGGCTCGACGAGATTCCCCGGCTTCCTGAAGGAGGCTTCGCGATGGACGCGAATGGCAGCCCCCCCCACGAACGTCAGTGCGGAAAGAAAACGCTCACCCGACACTCTCTATGCTCCTCGCGTCGAATAAGGGTTCCCAAATCAGTGATATGTATGGCCACTCCAGTGGCTAGCTGAGCCCTAATCGGGCCATAGTTGTCGTCCCCCATATTCGAGGAGTTTATATTAATAGTTGGCACAGACTCATCTGTCCATGAGATCCTCTCGCTTCCCAATTGCAGGCAAAAGGGTACAAGAGGCTGCAAGCTCACGACAGAGTCGGTCAGTTTGCTCAGTCCATCTTGCGAAGCGTGCGGGAATCACAACTATGTCTGTCTTGTGCACGAAGACAGCAACACACTGATAACGAAAGAAAAAGATTCCAAAAGGACTTTTTATTTTCCAGTTTTCGAAAGAACCGTTGGGTCCATCCCATTCAGAGATTGACGATCGTGCGAAGCCTGAAAACGATTTGATTTCGCATTATATCAAAGGCAGATTATCATACACGTACATAGAAGGGTGACCGATCTTTCACTACAGCACTTTCATACTGTAGACTGGATAGTATTTGCCGAATTTCAGACTTTTTCCACCGTTCTTTACGATCCCCTATGAAGAATGACCGTAGCAGATAGCGAAGATTGACTGAGAGAATGTCCGCGATGGTGTCGATCGTCAGCAGAAGGCTCCTGGCCGAGTCAAGAATCAAGTCAAGAGAGTTAGTGATATCAAGAAGCGAAGAAGAAGATAAATATTTTTGTATTATTGTTTTTTTTTTTTTACTATCCTAGTTGCTTACTGTCTAGTACCTACGTCAACATTGCCACTCCTCTGTACTCCCTCGAGCGCCAACAAATCGCCAGTATTTGTAGGCCTCCAAAACTGGATGCAATATTCCAACTGGGGTCTTATCAGCGCCGCATACATCATCACCCGTTGCTCTCGTCCTGCCAGCCAACTACTGATCCACTCACTCGTCCTACCCTGGATCCCTTGCGCCTCCAGTTTAACCCGCAACCACTTGTGAGGAACGGTATCGAAAGCTTTCGCGAATATGAGGTGAAACGCTGGGTCACTCGACATAGAGATTACGTTCGACGTTGGCATAAGAGTGGGGAGGTTTCCGCTTGTTCGCTGGAATGCATGTCTTGCTTTGGTATCTTAGTACATAATTAATAACCACCACGATATTTACCATCGAGAAAGAATGATACCAGGAGTGAGTTAAGTGGCACTGTCTCTGTGAAGGAACTCTTGCATGGTCTGTTCAGAAAGAAAAGTCCATATTTTAAGCATATATCCAAACTTAGTGCAAACTTCTTTTTTTTTTCCTGTAAGATTTTATGTATTACGGTATTTCCCACTTTTTTTCGAACCACCTCCAGAAATCTTGATCTGCACCTACTCCTTTCCCGTCTCGGTGTCATTTCTCATGTAGTGACTCTGAAAACACTTATATACCGCCTATAGACTCACAAAACATTCAAAATGATCTGATCTTAGCTCTTCGTCATGAGGAACTCCAAATAGCTATCTGAAAATATGGCGCATTTAGGAATGGAGACGGAAGTTATGCGAAGATGGTCCTCGTCCGCTTCAAAAGTCGAACATCACCTTAACAGAGCAAGGAACGATTAGGAAAGCCCAACGTTTTCTTTTTTTTTGAGTCACCGTGATCGAGGAGGGAGCACTGAAGACAAAACTATATGGATTCATCAAATAATGAGTTCTATTGCACAGGAGATGACAGTGGGGAGGGAGGGAAATGGGGGTCGTAGCTTGGATAAGATTGAGGAATTCCCAGATTTGCTTCAAGAAATGGAAATCCCATTGAACTCCTATGCGGTGTCCATCACTCGCTTCACCGATACTTCGATAGCAGCTCCCATGAGTTTCCACGAAAATGGAGCGTTCGCTTCCATCCGATAAGCTCAATATCCGTACGCATGTTTCAAGTGACGTCCAGAATAAGATTAGTGAACCTGAAATGGTGTTGGCCATTATCACGCTGCAGCCGACTCGACTTCCCTTGGCCTTCCGTCCCTGTTTCCTGAATGGAATTGCAGATTCGGTATAGAGTCCATGCACTTACCTCCTATAGATACACATGGGAGAAACTGGTGATCCTGGGGGCTTTATGTGACCAGGTTGATTGGTTCCGTCCATCATGCGAAAGACATCGGAATCTCAACTATGGTATGGCCTTCGTGTGTACGAAGCAGCAATGGAAACGACGGAGTCTCAGAAATATCGATTTTTATTTTCGGTTTTTGTCAAGAAATACAAGCTCCATCCCATCTCCATCCTAACATATTGACGATCGAGCGAAGCCTGGAAAGGTCCAAATTTCTTTTTGAGCATACAATACGTAAATTGTAAAGGTTTAATAGCGCACATTTACCCGACAAAGCATTCGTTACATCAATTTTTTCACTGCAAACTGTGCTATAGCTGTCTAATTTTGGCCATATCTGCTGCTCCTAGGTTTTTGATTCAACTGTCCACCCTTGAAAGAATACCAATAAGAGATTGCAGAACATATATTGAATGTTTCACTGAACCTTTCGCCTGCAGCAAACTTCACTGGGAAGACTTGCAGTTTTTAAAGCTCAATACCGACTCGACTTGCCGCTGACATGCTATGACGTCGAGAATTTCCTGATCATTGGCAGGCGGCCTGAAGGTCACGCGAGGGAATGGGTTAATCAGAAAGATCAGAGAGAAAATTTTTGTCATGGTTATCATGGTTACTGGCTATCGACCGAAGCTCCAAGACTTACTTCGTAAATGCTATTTCTCAGTTTTTTTTTTCGAGATTTCTTTCTCTTCTTTCGGCATACTTTTCCCCCGATTAATTTGAAACCGAGATGCTCCAAAAGTGAAATAGAATATATTTGTGTCTCCCTTGACAGGATGTAAAACCTTGAGCATTAAACATGAAAATATCAGATCAGCTGCTGAAACCGGTTGCCATTGCACACTGCAATATACCTATACGAGGCGTATAAAGCAGTGCAAATAATGAACACGCGGAAACGGACCAAGGGAGATTGCCCTTTGCCGAATAATTGCTTTCATCTGGGAAAGGGACCAAGTTCGAAAGCGTTTTTCGTGCATTTTTGTGCTTCTAGATATTCTATGCACAGTAGGAAGGCTTTCTGGATATCGAGTGCCTGCATTTCATAAATTAATTAAATGCTCTGCCTGAACCATTTACTACGTACCACGCTTGAGGCTCAGATAACGTTCGACTCCTTCTACCGTGACGAGCGCATCTCATTCATCCCTCATGCTTACTTTAACGTTTTGTAGGTCACGCTCGAGATGTTCTTTTGCTGCGAGTGCATGATAGGGGATGTTACAAAGGAAACGCTTGAAAAACAAGGTGTCATTGGTTGGTCACGGTCCCAAAATGGAATTTGATTTTTTTTTTAACAATACACGTGAAATTGAACGAATAAAGAATAAAATGATGTGTAAACATAAAAACAACACGCTACAAAGGGAATAAATAAGGAGCTCTTGGGCAAAGTCCTGCCTCAGGGAACAGAGAGCGCAAAGAGAGAGAGAGAGAGAGAACGGAGAGAGAGGAAGGAGAATAAAGAATATACAAGGAGGACACCACAACATACCAAATAGTGAAAGTGAAAAGGACGAGAAATTTACCCGATGCCGTCACGGAGGGAATCGAAGGCCTTGTTGATTTCCTCCAGCTTGAGTTCTTGGGTGACAAATTCGTCCACCATGAGTTCCCCTCTCAGGTATTCCTCCACCAGCTCCGGCAGATCATCTCTTTTGTAACCTACACGTCGATACTCTGGTGAAACTATTGCATCGAGATGAAACCGACTAACCTCTCTCGTTTTAATTTCACTCTGACTCAAGTTATCATTAAAAATTCCAACACGCGAGTGACAGTCTCGAAAAGCGCGTAGTGATCGCCGCAGAGAAAATGGACAGGATGACACAAGAAAGGATCGGACCGTCGGACTGACCTCCGAAGATGGCTCCTCTGAGCTTGCGTCCGAAGAGGAGTTGGATAGGAGGGAAGGCGAGCTCCACCCCCTTCCCTGCGCCTCCGATGATGGTCGCCACGCCCCAACCTTTCTGCACGCAATCCAGGGCTGCCCGCTGCAACATTCCCATTCCTCATTATTTTCGTAAGGCGAGGAAACCTCGAATCAGATTCACCAACGTTTCTAAGAATTTGGATCGATTATCGATAGGTCTGTGTTCCGATCTCGTGGAAAGTGTCTCAAAAATCCATGCACTTTAAAGGCGGGATTCGCCTCGCGATGAAGACTTGCCATGGCCTGAACATTTCCAACGCATTCAAAGGAGAAGTCCACTCCTCCGTCCGTCATTTCGGCCAGAACCTCTTGAATGGGACGGCCTGCATGGTCCTCCGGATTCACGAACTCCGTGCAACCGAATTTCTCCCCTGCTTTCACAAAGAAGATATTGAAATAGTTACAAAAGCGGGGAAGAGCATTCCGTTACGAAGAACGGAAATCTTTACAGTAATATGAACATTCGTCCGTGAACTGAGAACTTTGTCAGTGACTTGCATGGATGCGGGATTCGAATCCTGAAAATGAAATGTGCATCCAGTAAAGAAACCTTGAATTTACAGTTTATGTCTGAAACCATAGGTAGTGTATTTTCTTCATATTTCAGATGGTCTAAGTTGAAGGTATGGCACTATCTAAGGATGGGCGAGTAGAGGTTGTGGCACGGTGTACCCCTGGGGAACCAAGAGGCACTTCCAACTACCACAAACATTTGCATTAGATGCAAATTTATTAATGGTTCCAGATTTTTACGAGACACTCAGTAGAAGTGATGACTGAAACATTACTGAGGTGCTTAAATGCCATCGAAAAAGATACGCAATGTTCTGACATGTTCTCCGTTCCCAAACCTTGAAACCTTGAAACATCTGAGAATGTCAACATTATGGAAGAGTAATACAGGTAACATACTCTCATTGGGAAAAAAGACGTTTTAGGTTCGTAGCAAATATCGTGGGCGTGGGAAATGAGATGCAGTGGGAGCGTCAAAATACATCTAAAGAAATTTGACTGCTCTCCCCATAGAAGGCCATGACTTTCATACTGTCCCAATTCCCCTTATTAGCTCGAGCGATCGTACCGATGTCGAACTTTCTCGGATTGATGTCAACGCCGATGATGCGTTTGGCTTTGGCTTTCCTACATCCCATGACAGCACCGAGGCCGACGGCGCCCAGTCCGAAGACAGCGACCGTAGATCCCTCCTCTACCTTGGCCTCGTTCAGAGGTGAGCCATACCCGGTGGGGATGCCACAGGCCAGCAGGCACACCCGATCCAGGCGGGCCGAGTCGTTCAACTGCACGAAGTGAGCAAAAGAGGAGTCGAGGTGATGTACGCGTATTATACGCAAGAAATTATGCATAGCGAAAACAGTGAATGCATTTATGAATGAGCAAATGCACAAAGTTATGAAGGAATGGGCCTCTTGAGTGAGTCGAAAAACGAACGAAGAGATGGATGAATAAGCAATGAAAAAATAATGAACAAATGAATGCAAGAGGACATCCACTTATGAATGCACAAAAAATATAGACTACCGTATCTCTTCCAGATGTTAAGGTCAATTCGCAAAACCCCTGACAGCAGGAGTTTTGTTTGAGACGCAACGCGTCCTTCGGCAGTAGAACTTCGTAATTTACAAGAAATCATGACAAGATTATGAAACAGTTCTCCGTATACCGGTCATCTATGACATTGCAATTCATTAATGGATCCATAAAACACAGAATTTGAACGGAATGGAACGAGAGAGACTCAGACAAACCCTCCGCCAAAAACACGAACCCTCTGGAGGCTCGTCTAACCTTGACGACTGAGATATCAGGAACGACGGTGTATTGGGAGAAGGTAGAGGTGCCCATGTAGTGATGGAGGATCTTCCCCTTGCAGGTGAACCGGGAGGTGCCATCGAGGAGCACCCCCGTCCCCATCAACTTCCATAGCTTCCCGCACAGGTTTGTCTTCCCCGATCTGCACGCACGGCATTCGCCACACCAAGGCATGCACAATGGAATCACGTGGTCCCCTAAGAAGAAAATGTTGTAGGATAGACCTCGTTTTTCAATTAAACCGCCCCCAAGTAAGTACAATTGGAAAAAAGGTCGATTCCGGTCCAATCGTGGATTTTTCTTCTGCGGTATACCCTTCTATTTGGGCCAAGTTCAAGTTTTTCTTATCAAGGCTGTACCATACTACATGTGATCGTTCTTTATCTACTGAACAGGGAAGAAGAGAATTATATTGTACATTTGTGTCCATCTCTTTACCAGACTCTCCTCCATCCTCTTGTCTCAGTTGCCTCAGTTCGGCGTTGAGGGACTCGTCGACCAAGTGACACGAGCAGAATGAAATGCATGGACAGGAAATTGCTTTGCCACAAAAAGCAAAATCGCGATCAAGTGTCTGTGCCTCTTCCGATTACTTCAAGGCTGACACAATCGAGCTCAAAATGAGAAATCCCCATTGAAGATTTCATTCTGCACCACGTTATTCATTATGAAACCGTTGATGTGATTCATGCGATAATATCTTCCTACCTGGAGTTCATCTGAGTTCATCCTGAAGTTCATATTCATGCATGTCATCGCTATTTTTCTTTTAAAATTGAACGCGATATACCCTATCATCATGATTTTGCCCTTATATTTGTTCTAGAATTTTTTTCATTTGGAGATATCACTTTCGATGCAGATTGTTTCCTATCAAATCAATTAATTGAGTTTTCTACTTCGAAAAGAAAATGGCATAAATGCTGTTTTGATTGCTCAATTGTTTACCAATTTCCGGTTTTCAATCCATTCACAGCCACGGTACCTGTATAAGAGGCATTTTGAGCCGAAGGAAAAGTACCCATATGTCTCACAACCCTCTTTATTCTTGTCTATGTCTAAAAATGGATGATAACCGCTATATCCGTGGATATAGCGGATTATTTAGATGCAGTAGATTCATCCGGGACATCTGATTGCTTTTAGGCGGACAGTAGCAAGAAGGATGACTGAAAATTTTCGAAGGCGAAAGGGAAAGAGTGTAACGATTGGATCCATTTCAATGTATAATTCATTTATCTGTGCATTTCCACGTCAAACGGAAGGATCTGTATCAATGCATTCACTCAGAATGTATTTTGTACTCGTGTATTTGTGGCCATTTGTTCATCTGAGAATGCTTGTTTTACATACCCGGTTGAACGTTCGTGACTCCTTCGCCGACACTCTCGACGATGCCAGCACCCTCGTGACCCAGGACGGTCGGAAACAGGCCACCGGGGCCTTCGGGCGAGACACCCCATAAGGTCGAGGCGTCCGTGTGGCATACCCCAGTCGAGTGGATTTTTATCCGCACCTGTCGAGTACGAGAAACGAGCCTGTACTCGTGACAGTGAGAGGTCGAGAGAGGCTGAAAACCAATGGACAAGGAAATGGGGTGGATTCTCTCGTATTTTGTTTACCGAATCGCCGCAAGTACGCGTACTTTTAAGCTCTTAACAGAAATGAAAGCAGAATTAAGCAGAACTGTGGCAAAGCCCGCGATTGCTTTAAAGTAGAAGTCTGTCAAAAGCGCGACAATGGAACGCCTGTGTTGATTCTTCGAAGGAAATAGGCCAAGATTCCTGGGCATCTCCTTCTGGAGGTTGGATGCGAAGACGGACAGACCTCGTGGGCTTTCGGGGGAGCCACCTCGATCTGCTCGATGCTCAGGGGCTGGTTCGCCTCCCATGCCACGGCTGCAAGACACTTGATCGCCTGCAATCGAGTATGACGGTTTGAAGACTCACGATGGTGGCGTGATGATTTCTGGTCTTATCTTATACTATGAAGAATAAATAAATAATATTACGACTCTGAACCCGAGGGATGATGGAATTGTTTCTGCACCTAATAACTTGACTTTTACGAGGAATGAAATTCTCAGGGTCAAGAGATGACATCAAGAACAAATGAAGCTCGACAAATCAAATGATGCATTTTCTAGCATGAGACCTTTTCCCACATGATGAGTGCTTAGAAACGGACAAGCACTCGGGAATTTGTCATTATACAACTTTGACTTACGACGACTCGATTATAGTCATTTTAGATGATCTTAGTCTTCATCATAATCCCAAAACACATTAATGAATGAACTAATAAGCAATAAGATGAGGCAAGAGGAGTAACCATTCCGGCGGAGGAAGCCATTCTTCGAGAACGCAAATGTGGGAGCAGTCGACACCGAACTGATGACACCAAAGCCTGTGCCTTCGAGGCGCGCTGAGCTCTGCAGGCGAAGAGTGCTTAAAGTATCTATGGAGGACCGACCGCTCGAGAATTCGTCTGGCATCAAACAGGTCTCGTTTCTTTCACAAGGATGTAGGCGGTGATGTGCTATCATGGCACCAGATGCGAGAATGGTGTGGATCACGCCAGCGCGATATCTCCAGGTCAAGGACGCTGTCTGACACGACATGTGTGTTCCAGGAAGGGGGAGAGGACGAATACCAAAACAGGCCTCGATACTAGTGATCGGCACGCGGTGAGGCGCAACCCTTATCTTGAGAAGGGGCCGGACGTTCTCTCTCCATTGAAGTACAAGGACGGAGGCCTCTTTCTGTCGCTGTGAACGGACTCAGTTATTCGACTCTCCCACCTCATGCGTAACCTTTATGCTAAAAGCAACTGGAATGATGATATTATGTAAGTGTAATACGTTGCTTAAAAAAATTAAAGGGTCGCCTGCAGGACCGGATTAAGGTGGGGCAAAAAGGGCAGTTGCTCTGTGCCTCACTTTCCCGGGCCCCCTTCCCTCCCTCCCCCAAAGGAAATTAAAAACGTTTAGGCCCGAATGCTGAAACCTCCTTTAGTTAACAGTCCTTTAAGGAGAAAACAGACCATTTGTTCAAAGCCTCTTTATCTTGGAATGTGCAAACCTCCTTTAACCTTCCACTAGCCAACGGTCCTTTAACTAAAGAGGCTTTTAGAGAGAGGTGTGAAAAGGCACGTCTTGGCATCACTGTGGAAAGCGTAGTTCGTTTAAAGGCCTAATTTTGACGGGAAATGAGTCAATGCCATGTGGAGTGAACACGGATGGGTCAAGTTGATTCAGCGCAAGTGGACTGAAGTGGTAAAACGTTGAGAAGAGAATGACGAGAGGCAGGCAGAGGAGGACGAGGAGAAAGCGTGCAGTCCCCAAGTGCCTCTCGCTCTTCAGGGCGCCGTATACGTAGAAGTAGGCGGAAACGGCGACGTTGAAGGCGAAGACCGACTTGATGAATGCGGGGGGAGGGGAGGGAAATGCGGGGAATAAGATACCGTTCGACACGATGATCGGGGTCGATACCCAGGATATGTAAAATATCGTCAGCCAAATCTTCGTCCTCCGTTGGATCTACGAGGGCCACTCAATAAGTTATCTACCTGAATATGCAAGGGATGAGCAACAGGCATGTCCCTGCTGTGACATGTCTCGACAGGTCTCGTGAGTGCCCCACCACTATACCAGCTCAGTGGCTCAAGTCCGTTCAAAGTGGTAGCGCATTAGATTTCTTTTCCCGAGTCTGTGTCATGGATTTGACGAAAGTCGAACATCGTTCNCGATCTACTGAATGTAAGAGAGACGTTCTGGAGTCAAACGGTCGTTTTAGCTGCCCCTTCCTGAGAGGACGGCAAGGGATGTAGAAAGGATGACGTCATTGATAGCACCAGCAGTTTTAAAACGCGGGAGGAAGGTATCTAAGACGTGGAGGTGCTCTTCCAGCCGTTCTCCCAGGAACGTGATAGCGACGCAAAGATCCACCGACCTAATACAACTTGATATTCATTGATATTCACGTGAGTTTCGATGCGGCGTAACGTGATTCGTTTATATCGGTCCTCATTTGGAGGGCGGATTATTCACTGCTGCGCTGAAGCTGGCACCTTATCTGATCACACTCTGAAATGCGGATCGGTTAAGGGAACAAAACGTCGTCGTTGGGGTTGCATCTAGACGAATGATGCGCGAATGAGTCGTTTCCGATAATCCTTTTCCTTTTTAATTCCTTTTCCGATAACCTCGAGCGCTACATTTTTATGGAACCACTGTATTTAAATGACGAACCGTTTGCACCGCGATACGAGAAACTTTGAGATTTACTTCTGCGGAGTAGAAAAAAAAAGAATAAGAAATTCGAGTGGCTACATCTCAAGACGTTTGACGGCAAATCTCACAAATTTTTTCGGGAATGTCCCTCGCTTCCTTCGTTTCAACGTTGAAAAGTTTGATGAAATGCGACTCTAATTCGAATCGAAAAAAAAAGATAATGCCAAAAGTTTGACATTCAAAAGGAACAAACGTTTCTGGGACAACAGCTGGTTCTTTCCCCCCCAATCTTTTTCCAATTGGGAGAAGAGATTGCAGGACAATTTAAGCTACAAATTCCGTCTCTTAAAGAAATTAATTCAGTGCAAGAAAAAATGTTCAACCGCAGAATGAGATCATGCCAATAGCTTGAAATATTGGCTCAATCGTGATGCTCATTTGCTTTATTGGTACCAGATTGGCATCCGTACACGACCCGAAATAGGGACAATTTTGCGATTCACCTCAGAAATTCAACGTAGGGCCAATGTTTCTTCTTCATAGGCAATGCAATATCAAGAACTTCCAATCGGTCCAACGAATGGACATTGTTTGCCTAAGATTGAACTAATTTTGCCAGAATGGCGTAGGAAATTTATTTTTACGCTTGGGGAAAAATACGAAGTCATCCTCCTAATTGTGGACGCTGTCGTTTAACAGCACACGAAAGACCCTTTATTTCTTTCCATGAAACTCGCTCATACCATGGTATGAGTGAATTTCATTACTCATACCATGGTACTTCATGCTCCTGCAGGAGCATGAAGTACAGGGAGTCTCATTCGTAGATATTTCCATCGGTTTCTTATGAGGAAAGGAAGACATTAATTTGTATGCCTCTATCAGTTGATCACATTTTCCAAAGCACGCATGCAATCTCTTTACCTTTTCTGTGAACACTTTGTCTAACAGATGCGGTGTAATGCGACATTGAATGATTCTGTTCATAACAATTCCCCATAAGAAATTAATATGGTAGGGTATCTATAATGTACTCTTTCATACCTCGTTTATTCCTTTTGGAGGTGACAATAATAATGGTAATAAAACATTTATTACACCTATATATCCGGAAAAGATGGATTCCAAACTATATGCCAGCGCGCCTTTTTTTCAATAACAAACTGACCTGATAATTTACACTGGAGCGTGGTAAACAGATTTACTTACGGCTTTCAACATGCAGAGCTTGCTAAGATAAGCATTGACTTGAGTATTAAAAAAAATTGGTTGGTCACTATTTTTTAATAGCACTTTGGGCAGCCTATCTGCTGGGTGCGGAGGTATGAGTTTTGCACATGTGTTTATCAGCATTTGAGGATTTACTCTTCTTATTTCAGATAACCTTCTACAACGTAAAGTATTCTCAAATTTTTTTTGCTAGAAACTGTGAAAAGGTAGTAGCTAAAATAGTAGTCGTGAAAAACTGAAGTGATTTCTGAGGTTTGAGGAATTTATAGGAATCTATCTACACTTCGACAAAGAAAAAGGTGAAGGCTGGAAACGGGAATGACCTTTGGGCAGGAGACGACCAACGAGACGCCCCGAATGCACCTCATTCGCTGCCGCAGCAAGTCGCCCAGCGTGCACGGAGACTGTTCACACACTTCTCCCTCGATGAAGCCGAACCTGAAGCCTTCTTGGATGCCTTTCATGGCGAAGTAAGCATCCTCTGAGATGGAACCCGATGGTCCGTTGTTGAATGACACACTCCGTTCTTCTTTCACCTGTCGGCGGGTGAAGCGCGGGCACCAAGTCAAAAAGTTGTGTTTCGAACTCGGTCTGCATCAAGAGCATTTCGGGGCACTCCTCTATCATTTTCTCTGGGTTTTCATTTATTTTTTAAATTTCGAATAAGAACTCACGCCGATGGATTTTGCAGCATGTTGATGGTGTGAAAAGCAATGCTTTTTTTCACGCAACTCACATGCATAATGGACTTGGAAGAACGTATCTGCCCCTCAGAAAATCAGTCGCGAGGGGCGCAAGCGTTTACAGTTATATATTGTACAGTGTATTTGTCGGCGGAAAACTCTAAGCATGTATTAACCCTCACCATGGAATTTGCATGATTCCAGAATTCGGAAATACACTGCATAAACGAAATGAATAGCGCCAGATGCGCAGCTACTCGGAACATCGCAAGATTGCCCGCATTCACGCGATTCGATGGTTAGTTATTCGATAGTGACTCACTTTGGCGAGCAAGAAGGATCCGCCCCAACCAAGCCAGGGCTTCCTGCACGCCTTCAGCGTGAACCAAGACTTCCCCATATGATCGGCAATTCTGACAAAGTCAGCCAATGTCGTCATCCAGTTTGAAACGGACCTTCGAGTGGTCACGACCAGACCCGTTCCGAAATGGGCTTCTCCGTCGTGAATGAAGTTCATCATTCCCTTCACGGCGTCTGGAGTGAGGACACTGTCTTCATCCAGATGCAGAATCCAATCTTCGTCTCCCAACTCGTTGATCCCGTCTTCCAGGCAGTATTGCAGCTGTCGAGCTTTGTACATGGATCCGCTAGAAGGCTCGTAGGAATCCGGAACGACGATCTCTCTCAGATGTACCATCTTAGGGAGTTGAACGGATTTCTTGGTCACGACCTCTATTGAGTAATGACGTAAACCGGTTTCCTTGCACACGCGTAGGTTCGCGAACGAATTTTGACGGACGAGATCTGGGAAGTCCCCTCGGGTCACGATTCGCACGACTACGAATGGTAGGGAATCAGGGTCTGCCCTCAACCGGACGGGGCCGGGGAAGGCATCGTACATGGTGAGACCCAGGAACGACGTCACGTTCAGGGGCAGACTGAGCAGCGACAAGAACCGCAAACAGTACGCGAAGATAGTCCAAGAAACATGAACTTGCTCCGCGTTCTTCCACGTCATGGAGAATGTGATGACTTGAACGAACGCAATTACTCCGAAGAAGATGATGCAATGAAGACGGTGTTTCAGATATGAACCATTTTCCTTCCAGGTATTCAAGCTAGTCTCAGTCTGCTCATTCACCTTCGTTGCCATTCTCGCCTGAGCTCTGCAATTAAACAAGAAACCTCGACATATACAGGGGTAACAAAAGTCGGGAATCATAATTGAAAAGTATGGGAACATTTTCTGCCCAAGCAACTTGGAACTAAATCATCAACCATTCCATCGTAATGGGAAATTTATCTTAATCACAAATTACATGATTTTAATCGCTGTGCACGCCAAATATGAAATTGCTAAGGAGGCTGAACTTTTGCTTCATGAGAGCGATTACCTCCTCACCCTCACCTATCGTCACGATCTATGGATGATCACCGAAAGAATTAAGTCGCAGACACAAGCTGCCGAAATGAGATTCCAGAGGCGGGTGGTCGGCGTCCTGCGCCGCGAGAGGATGCTCGATGAGAACATTCATGTCTCGGAGGTACGCATTCGGGTCGAGAGGTCCCAAGCAGGTTGGTTCTGACACGTCTTCCGTATGCCTCCCGAAATACTCCCAAAATGCGTCCTCTAATCTAAACCGACCGGCAAAAGACCAGTCGGTGGGCCTTGTGCAAAGTAGGAAGAACCGCATCACGAATCCGTCAAGAGAGCCTTGGTGAACCACCTCCCGCGCTCGAGTCCGTTGCGTATGATCGCGACCAGTGGAAGATGCTCCTCAGCCTGCTTCGGCTGTGACCCGATTCGGTTAGGATAAGCGACGCAGGAAATGCACCTTTGCATATATGCAAAACCATGAGTTAATGTGGGTACTCGTATGTCATTTTGGGTCACCTGGACCAGATCTTGTAAGACGACCTTGGTTCGATAGTGCCAATATTCAGAGTTTGGCAAAAGACACTATGCAGTTGTTGAATATAGAAAATCGTTGAAGTTCTAACGCCATATTGACCGTTGCTTACAACGAAATACAAATTACACGGGAAAATGATTGTGCAATGTAATTTCAAGAGCTAGCAGGTTCATCCTCTGAAACTCTGGAACAAAGAGAACTAAATTAGCAAAACAGCTATTTTCATTATACAAGAACTCTATAGAACATTTGCCCTGCCATATATATTGGCGGGTTAGATCCAAGCAGTCTAGGCCAGTGGTTCCCTACCTTTTTTATTTTTTTATTTTCGGCTCGCGACTTGAATTTTTGGTGGCGCACCCAGCCATTTATTAATACTTACTAATGAGAAATATGTGCTCGCTTCGCTGAACGCAGCAATCTGTTACGAGACGGGATTGTCGAAAGTGAAATTCTCAACTCATTTTCCACTGAGAAGTCTGGTCACGATTAGTCGAGTCAAAACGTTTAGAGACTCATAGATCAACATGCAATTACTGATACTGCCTTCACACCGGATCAGTCTAGTCTAGTCTAGACCAGTCAAGCTGGGCGAGTCGTAGTGTGCATGCACACCTGTCAGTCTTCCTCAATCTAGTCAAGTCAAGTCATCTTTAGTCTAGTCAAAACTTTTACAGCTCCATTGCTAAACACGCTCTTTCTGATATCCACTTCACACCGAATCGGTCAAGTCTAGTCTAGTCCTCGTCAGTCACGTTTAGTCAAGACGCAAATAGGCACAGGCTCTATTTTTCCTTCAGTCTTTATAAGTCTCTAGTGTGGTGTGGGACTTGAAGGCATGCGTGAAATGAGTTCCCGAGTGGAAGTACTGATATCCTTGGTTCGCGAAAGGCCTGAGATCAACGACCCTGCCCCCTGTTTTATTATTATTATTTTTTCCTCATCACTATGCCTCAACTCTGTCTTCTTGTCCCGCTAGTGCTGCTCTGTACTACGAATCAGGGCTTCCGTACTCTCGCACAACACAGGAGCACGCTCATGCTACCCGAACTCAAAGTTCACCTTCACATGGAAGCGAAGGGGCAATGACCGTTGTAAATGAGTTCCATTCTCCAGTTCATATCGGAGAGTTACGTGTATCCATGGAATTATGTTTCCGACTCTCCTCAGTGTGACTCCTAGCCGTTACTCTGGAGGGATAGCCCTTCGGTAGTTCCTGTTTTGCTTCTCTCTGTGTGGAGCTGTGAGATGCAAGAGTTTCTCAAGGGAGGATGTCCTCGTGCGAAAATACCAAAAGAACCGCTCAGGATCTTTCTGCAATTCGATGAAAAGGGGATGGCATTAATCGAATTGCTACTTTTGGGAATCAATGGGACGCACCCACAACTTCTTTCGCCATCTCTTTCTCCATGGCCACAACAAAACCTAGGTAGACACCAGTTGTTCCTCACTCTCCTCCATGCTGCTCAACAAGACTGGAGCAGATAGTGAACTGAACTGGCATTAGAGATGTGCGTGCGTGACCACCTGTCTGAGCTTGACTGAAGGGACTGGACTGACCAATGACTAAATGTGACTTGATTTGACTGATTCGATGTAGAGGTATCCGTTGGTGATGGTGAAGGAATGACTGATATTGACTAAAGTGACTTGACTGAAGCATGACTTGCTTTGACTAGACGTTCCTAAACCGTGACTAACCTTGACTGGACTGAACTGGACTAGACTAGACTGATCCGGTGTGAGTATTTCAAATTCTACCAAGTTTGATTGCCCTTCCTGAAAACTCGCAATATACTATATAAATAGTAAAATATATAACTAGGTCGACGCATCGATACCACCATCGATGGTTCGAGGTATCGATGGTTTCTTCGACCATCGCGATGTATCGGCAAAATATTTTGAAGGGGAAAAGTCCAATTGGATCGAAGCGAGTACAGTACAATACAGTCCGTCCGGGTGGGGAATCAAAGAGGCGGCGTGACCCGCACGAGCACGCAGTATCTCATCACGGTCAAATTCTGGAAATACTGGGACTGACTATATGAAAGACAAGAAGAAAACGTGTTAGATCGGAGACAGGAGCGAGGAAAGGAGAGGGAGGGAAGGCCAATAATATTTTTTTCTGTTCTGTTTCAGTCTTCAGCTCGATCCCATCTGGTGCAGGCTGTGAAAGTGGACTATTCTTATATTCCCTTAATTTCGAAACGTACATTGGTTAAAATGATTCATTTGTACCATTATATATATGGAGATGCGAATAGAGCTGTGAATGATTCGGATTTACAAGACTGATTTACAAGACCATGATAATGAATGCGAATTTGAGAATCAATGGCGCTTCCTTTTCCTGGTACCCATCAGAAATGGCAATCCTCCTTTCCTCGTGTCCAAATACCCTTGTATACAGCATGAAAACACCATGCTTGTCTTCCACCATCACCCGTGAGAGGAGAAAGAAACGCCATCGACCGTCGTTCAAGCGACGGATGTACGTTTGTTCGTTCGTTCTCCGGGACGGCGAAAGTATGGATGACGCACGGGAAAGGAGGAGGCTCTGGAGGTTCAAATGCGACGGAATGAAGCGAGGATATCACACCGTCAGAGAAGAGAGAATCCTAGATCCGGCTGGGAATACTATTATATCTATTTTTTTTCACATATCATGTTGACGTTATCCTGAATTTCCATAATGCCCTATTTTCTGCGTATTGAATCCGTGAACAAGTCATTAATCCTCGAATATATCTCCCATCACCCTCTGAGTCCTTCGTCATTCTCCCGAGACTCTCGCGCGTCCGCGGTGCCCTTTGGAAACCGTGATACGTGTCGGGCCTTCGTAATGTCGTGTAAGGGAGACTGTCGGTGAAAGGTTCGTTTTTGTCAAGGAACGTTTCGTGTTCTTCAACTTTGATCGTCGTAAATTCATGCAACGTGCTCCGAATGGTATTTCCAGTGGGATGAAGATTTACAAATAACTTTATAACATATAGGGTGGTTTGAAAAAAAAACGCTCTACCGTTTTCTATGGGAGAAACAGTTTTATATATGCAGCAAAAAAATTATATTAGTTACGCGATTGATATTTGACAGTTACAAGATGTTGAAATGCTTGCCAACTGTTTTTTAGCACCTATGTCGCGCAATGCTCATTCAGAGGTGAATTAAAGGTGCTTAGAGGTAGATCATTCCACCATAAGTGTCGTGATAACTCGTGTTCGACCGTCTCAGAATTCAATGATATTTCTAACTTTCACTTTTCAAGGGACAGTTGGTTCCAGCTGATAGTTGACAGAGAAGTTCATAGGTCTAAGAGGTTTTTTCAAATCCACCACATTGCGTTGTATCCCGATAGAGGGCGCTGTTGAACGGGTGACCTAGGGTGATTTAAAAAAAAAAAGCCGTAATGATCCACCAGTAAACTGTGCAATGGGAGAATACATGGTTAATGGAGAATTATTCAGAAAAAAAACAAGGCAATCCTCTCAACACCTCCTATATGTCCAATATCAAGAGTTTATGAATCTTATATTTTTTTACTAGAATACATGAATCGTACTTTCTCCTTTGAAAATGGTGGAGCTTTTTTCTTCAATCCCTCTCGGTCATCCTGTCAATATCAGCGCCCTCTATCAGGATACAGCGCCATCTTGAGGAAGTGAAAAAACCTCTTAGACTCATGAACTTCTCTGACAAGTATCAGCTGGATTCAACAGTCAAAAGTCAACAGTCAAAAATTCAGAAAAGTGAAAGTTGAAAAGTTCATTAAATTCTGAGACAGTCGAACACAGGTTATCACCACATTTGCGATGGAATGATCCACCTCTAAGGAACTTTAATTCACCTCTAATTGGGCAGGGGTGCTGAAAAAAAGCTGGCAAGCATTTCAACATCTTGTAATTATCAAATATCAATCGCGTATCCAATGTAATTTTTTTTTTGCATTTATGAAACGGTGTTTCTCCCATAGATGACAGTAGAGCGTTTTTTTAAAACCACCTTATATAGAAACAAGTGTTATATATTTCACTGAAATGCATACACATCAGCTAGATATTGCATTAGATATTGTGGGTCCTGTATTTTTCTCATCAACTGTAAATGCTGAATGTTATCAACACATCATTCTGAAATTCATTGCTCGGTTCTCAATTCGCTCAACACTCAATTCAAGTTCTTCAAAAAAAAGCTGCATGTAGGGTTTGGCGACTTTTGAAACTCCCTGTATGTACGGTGGAGTGCGCTGTGGTGTTTCGCTAAATTAAACATATGGTACAATATTGCATCCTGGAGCAGTCCAAAAAGGTATCTAATTTTCACGTAGACAAACGAAAAACCATACATGGTATCGACAGCAAAATAAGAGTATCACATGTTATATGTGTATGAGAGTTTAACGAAAGCTTAATTGCTTAAAACCCAACTGACGGTTACTTTCCGCTCCGTCAAATGTACTTTTATTTCCCTGCCTGCTCAGCTAGACTCTGCAAGGGCGAGTCCGACCGTGCGCAGAGGAAGCAGAAGGGATTCCACAAATGTGTGCCAGGTATTTAGTACTCGTGCACCGTTAGTACAGTGACGGGGGGGTCGGTATGCATCACAACGTACTCGTGATATTGCGCAATAGTCGGGATCATATTTGAGGCAATTTAAAAAAAGAACATTTTGCGTTATGGGTATACATAGCACTTGGAAGGAATATAACAAAGTTACTTCCGCTCCAATGAATGTTTTTGAATCTGTGAAAATGAATTTGACAGAAAATATAAAAACTGTGTTATAATCCCATTTTAATTGAGATTTTTACCACCTCTTGCATTTCAACTACAAAGTGAATCTAGTTTCTTGAATTTTTTAAATAATTAAGGAGTGACAGCAATTCATGCCGTTCCAGAAAACAGGAAAGGTGATCTTTGAAAAAATATCCATTAAAATGAACGAATGGCATATGACGGCAAATACCAGTTAAACGAAATTTACAAAAATAAGTTGTGCGTGCAAAGTTCATTGATCAATGGGCTTTGGTAGCGCCCATTATCTTTCTTCAACCCCCTCCGGCGACAAAATTCAACCGTCTGGCATTCCTCACTGAGAGGATCAAGAGGAACGAAATTTAGCATACTTCTTCCTCTCATCGCGGAATGGCTCCACCAAATTTGAAGCTCCATCTCCCCTGGATTGTGGAGATCACTGAATGTCACTTTTAGATGTGAATTTACGGGAGTGGGGGGGGGGGGTTTCTCCTTCCCGTGGAGTCGCTCCTGGGAAGTTTATGGAGGAAAGAGAGCAACTAAACGAAAGATATTGACTTGTAGGTGACAAAAAATTTTCCTTTTTGTTGCCTCCAGTACACCACTTCGCCATTTGAAAATGAAATTGAATGCGTTAATTTAGGCTTAACGTGATGGGTCCAATTCCTCCTCCAGTGTTGCCGGGTATCGTGCCTTAGTTATGCCAGATTCATGACTTCTTCGGCCTTAGCATTATTTCTGGATCTTCCCTTTTTAATGTAGGATACATTATTGCACTGAATTCATGAGATGAGCTGAGATTGAAACGATGGTTTGCAGTGGCCGATGGATTAGGCGTAATTCAGAGATATCTCATCCGGACATCCCTAAATTAACATGATGGCGGCCAGTATGTATTTCGAGCGCCCTAAAGACATTCTCATCTCGGAACGAGTCGAGACGGTTTGAGGAATTCTGGATAGACTTAATGTTCCCCGCCCGGACTGAAATGATTCATGAAGCTCGTAAACGACCAACATTCGGTGTAACGTTACACGTCCTCAGCGAGGTTTATCGAAGACCATCGATTAATCCTTATTGGCCTAATTGTTCCGTTGATCGAGGATTGAGTTTCTTTTAAACGAATGTGTTAGACGTTTATTTATGGCAAATTTAATTCAGATAAATATAAAAGTTGAATATAGCTGCAACCAAGTTCCTAAATCGATCTAAAGAGGAGGGGGGGGGATAAACAAACAGGTATAGTTCAAAGTTCGAAAGAAAAGAACAAAGAATCGAAAACGAAGGTGGAAATGTTAAAAAAAAAATTTTTTCGAAGGAAGAGTGAATGCAAGAATGACTGTCGAGGTGCAGAAGAAGTTCGGGTCTTACTTCGACGACTGGAGTGAAAGCTGCTCCCGACTCCAGCATCTTCTTCATTGCGTCATCATCGTCGCGATGGTTGGGGTTGTCGAATTCGTCGCGTTCTCAACGGAGACGACATGGGACGACGTGGAGCCTCATCGTTTTTCTTGGACTATTTTCGCGTACTTTTTGCGGTTTTTGTCTCTTCTTAATCTGCCCATGTGCGTGATGTCGTTGCTGGGTCTCACAATGTACGATGCCTTCCCCGGCCCCGTCCGATTGAGGGCCGACCCGGATTCCCTCCCATTCGTAGTCGTGCGAATCGTGACCCGAGGGGACTTCCCAGATCTCGTCTGTCAAAATTCGCTCACGAACCTACGCGTGTGCAAGGAAACCGGTTTACGTCATTACTCAATAGAGGTCGTGACCAAGAAATCCGTTCAACTCCCTAAGATGGTACATCTGAGAGAGATCGTCGTTCCGGATTCCTACGAGCCTTCTAGCGGATCCATGTACAAAGCTCGACAGCTGCAATACTGCCTGGAAGACGGGATCAACGAGTTGGGAGACGAAGATTGGATTCTGCATCTGGATGAAGACAGTGTCCTCACTCCAGACGCCGTGAAGGGAATGATGAACTTCATTCACGACGGAGAAGCCCATTTCGGAACGGGCCTGGTAGTGACCACTCGAGGGCCAGTTGCTAACTGGATGACGACATTGGCTGACTTGATGAAAACGGGCGACGATATGGGTAGAACGCGGTTCCTACTGAAGACATGCAGGAAGTCCTGGTTTGGTTGGAAGGGTTCCTTCTTTCTAGCTAACGTAAGTTGTTCGACTTTGCCTTAACTTACTTGTCTCGCACGGTATTAGATTAGGAATGAGGAAAAATTGATTTTTACTTAGAAAATATACACAGTAGCATTTTCAAAGTGTGAAAAAACGGAATAAAAAACAGGTGCTTGGACGAGTATACGAATATGCATCCTCACCAGCACTCAAGAGTATCAGGATGACCCACTGCTTCCTCATCCCGTACCACGACCTAGGGGGAAGGAGTAGGTGTTTACAGGAGCTCTCTTCCCTTAAGGATAAAGAAGGTAAAATAATTGTGGAGTTGGGATTCTATTCTTCCTTATTCCCGTGCACTGCTGTGATAAAAGCTTAGCTTCGGCATTTAATGATTTCCTGAATCATGTATTATTAAGCCAGTATAAGCCAGTCCTTAATAGCATTTGTATGGTGCAGGGAACAATGGTTCCATATAGTGAGGAATATTGGTATTGCAACTGCCGGATGATCAGCTAAAGTTTCATATGGATGGTGTGGTGTTAATTTGCATAAACGTGATTTCATGTACTTCATGTCAGTTGGGGTGACGTCTAGTTTATGTAAAATATGCGTACACTTTGGTGATGTAAATATAGGACGTTAATTTTTAAGTAAATGTGATATCATATTCATGGCAATCGCAAGAAATTTCCATTGTTTGCAAAAAATTGATATCTTGGTTACGTAAACATGCTGCTTGGGTGGTGTCTGCCTGGGGCTCCCCCCATTCGAATAAACACCTATTTCCGCGTACAGGAAGCGGGTGCTGTCATCAAAAGGAATAAAAAGAACTAACAAATAATTAAAATAAAAACTTGAAAAACATTTCAAGTTTTACCCAAGTTGTTCGAGGAGAACCGAACCCGACATGACCATATATTTTTTTTTACTTTGGGCCTCCTGTTATTCTCATCGACAGGCGAAGGCTGAACGCATCGTGTCATTCGATAATGGACCCGCAGGATCTATAGCAGAAGATTCTTACTTCGCCATGAAAGGCATCCAGGAAGGCTTCAGGTTCGGCTTCATCGAGGGAGAAGTGTTGGAACAGTCTCCGTGCACGCTGGGCGACTTTCTGCGGCAGCGAAAGAGATGGATCCAGGGCTACTCGTTGATCGTCTCCTGCCCAAAGGTTATTACCGCCCACACCTCCAGCTGTATCGCTTATCATACCAGAGATAATCATGACCTCTTGGAAATTCGCGAGTGAAGTTCCAGGCATCGCATGAGTTTGACACGGATTAAAGTGCAATTCTATCGAGTATAAGGGGAAGTTGTCCTTCGACGACGACCTAAAAAGCTTTTCCAACAGTCAGGAGAGTCACAGGTAAATCCCCTTTTCCCGTATTTTCAGCATTTCTGCATATGCTGCAAATGAGAACTAAAGGTAGTTACCCATTTCCCCCAATTGAAAGTTTTTATAACTGAAGAGAAGAAATGACGAGAAGATTCATGGCTTCCCAAGTAGCACGTAGATTGCGGACCACCAGTTGGAAAAGACCTGAATACCCGTATAGCCAACATACTCAATCGCCTCTTAAACATGGCCATTCAATAGGCCATCCAATGGACATTTCCAAGGATTATCATTGGACGAGACATTTAGTCATCCAGTGGATGTCCGAGGAACAGTGACTTAGCCAGGAAGTAATTTCGCGGGGTGTCTTGCGAGTCTCTGTCAGGCTCATGAGATGACAAAGTGGCCGAGGAAGGTGAGGGGTTGGGAGGAATGGGGATAACTTCAGAAGCCTTTTTAAGACTTCACCCCACCCACCTCATAGTTCAAAAGAGCCCCGTTCTCATCCCAAAATTTCAAACATTTTTGCATGAAAAGAGATATAGGTGAAGGACTGACCTTGAATTAGTCATAATATAGTGGGAGTAAGCTTCTCCTGAATCATGGTTCGCTACCGGAACTAAATAATCTGGTAGAACAATAGAAGCGAAATAGGGGGGGGGGCACTGAATTGGTTAAGAGTGATTGTATTCAAAAGGTAAGAATAGGAGTGCAAATCAAAACTTCAGGTGTATATGTAAAACTTGTCACACACCCACACTCGCACTCCCACTTCCTTGTTTCAAGACTAATTGTTTCTTTTTAGGGGTGTCCAAACACCCAGGACACCCCCACCCCCCTGGCTACGTACCTACCGAGAAGGATTTACATTGGACGTTCAAGTATCCTTGATGGTAAATCCAATGGATTTATTTTGGTTCAAAATTGCTACTTGGGGTCGAAAAAGTTAGTGTTGTACCTATCTTGGGATGCAGTATTTCACCTCAGAAACCCTCCGCTTCTCCCACGTTTCTTCATATTTCTCGGACTCTCCCATCCCGATTTTTTACGCACAGCTCGATCACAATCAAAAGGCTGTGATAGGACGAGAGATAAGTATACAATTGTTTATGGCTAGGACTATTACATGGGGTACCGTTAAACTGACGAATGAGTTAGAACCACTGAATCATAAGAATTCCATCATCGAATATTGACAAATTTAGTGGAAATGCACCTCTTTTTACCTCGTCTAGGAGTTGAAAAGGTCTCCAAAATCCATTATTTCAAATCTGAGTCATGACCAATATCCAGAAGAAAGTCTTAAACGCCAACTCTTGCAAGATTACTCGAAAGTACTGCAGCGGAGAAGATGAATCTTGGAATCTGAACCAGAGCTTGAAACGCTGCAACAACCTATTGGAGTACAAAAGTACTTCATCCCGCTCCCAGTCACTTTTGCAAGGCACACATTTCATGGCTTTGAGAAACTTTAACTGGAATTGTCATACAATGTCTTCTTTCCAAGTAGGAAATTATAAGAAACTTTTCTCAACTGTTCCCAATTCTTTCGTCTCTTACACAGATTTATTGGAGAACGAAGATATGGCTGACGATATTTTATTTATCGTGGCTATTGACTCCACTCATCTTATTGAATGGACTGTTCTCCAAGTTCCCAGACCCGACTCCAGGAATTTTCAAGTCGATCTTCACCTTCAACATCGCCGTTACTACCTACTATTACCTGTACGGCACCCTGAAAAATGAGAAGTATCTGGGGATGGCGTGTTCTCTCCTCATCCTCCTCTGCCTGCCTCTCGTCATCCCCTTCTGCTCGNCGTGTTCTTTCCTCATCCTCCTCTGCCTGCCTCTCGTCATCCCCTTCTGCTCGCTGCTGGAGAACGCGAGCATCGTGTATTCCTGGTTTGGGCATACGAATGACTTCTACGTCGTCAAGAAAGTCACCACGACGAGACACGAGGAAGTCTGAAACGATGGATTTCGTGCATGCACAATATGCACTCATTCAGACGATTGTGGGTGAAAAAAATTACAATCGCGGATTGGCGGCCATTTTTGGTTGCAGTTGTTATTGGGAAAATTTCAGGATTCAGTGAACCGCTGAAATCTAAGATTTGCAATTCGTCGAAATTTTGCTTGAGTGTCGTGGGTATGAGGCCATGTAGATAAAAGCTTTGTGTAATCTTTCATTTGATCCTATGACCCACGGATAGGAAAAAAATTGGCATTCGGAAATTGCAGATCAGATGAATATATATTTATTTTGGTTGTAACAAATTGACTTTAGTCATTTAAGACAAATTTTTATACCTTTTGCGGCAATTTCTCAGTTGTTTTTGGAGATGTTTCTGCCTTTCGAATATATATTTTAGGCCCACATATTCCTACTTAAAGTTAACTTGGGCCACCCATCATGGTTCAAAGTACAGTTCAAGACGTGAAGAGGCCACGTTGTACAAATTGAGACCCGAATTTAGGTCGACAGCTCGTGCTTCCCTTCGAGTTGCGCAGCAGCTGCGGGTATATTTGCCTGCTCTTTTCGTGATTCTCTTCCAGGAGGATCGGATGGCTAGGAAATTTCAACATAATATGGGGGAAACATGGGAGTATTTTGAACTCAAAAGAGATAGTGATTCTGGTTTTGGCATGTAAGAAGTATTCAAAGTCTCTTCCAGTTTCATCTTGTAGCGGCCCATTTACGTACCGTGTTATGTGTATCCTACTATACGATACAATTGGAACACGATCGCATACGGTATAGACGTTCACCTTCTTCACGAGACTTTCTCGAACCTTAATCCCACTCGAAATTCCCTCCGGTGAACGCAGCACGAAAACCCGCACAGAAGATCCAGCCAACTCCAAAGAACGAAAGCCGCGAATACGCACCAACAACCTCCCTTCTCGAACGCCCCGCGTCGATTCCAGGCGGCACTGCGGAGTCCGACACTCGGCAGTCGAGAGACTCCATGGAATTTGGCCGACTCGAAAGATCCGATGACTCTGGCCAGCTCCCAGGTCTGGAAGGAGGCATAAAATCGAAACGGTCATCATGATATGCTGAGAAAAATATACGTCAAAAAAAGAGGCAACATTTCATTCCGGATCCAAACTGACCTCTCCAATGATAGTGCGAAATACCCGTCGTATCTCACGATACATTTGAGCGTGCAACCTTTCCTCGTCTTGAAGGAAGATTGAATGTCGATTGATGTCACGTAGCAGCAATTAGTAAAAATTATGCTCTGGATATCGGTATGCGTGTAAAATGAAGGTTAAGATATATTGCAACCGAGCATAAAGTAACGCACATTTTAATCCATGCTTTCATTCACCTCGATTTTCCTGTCGTTTTATTCTTAATTTATTTTTCCCTTCTTTGTTCTCATCTGGAATTCCTCGACAAATGTTTGACTTTCTTTCCCTTACGTTACTATGTTCAACATCTGAAATGCTTCATTGAATGCGCGGACAGGAAATTTTAATGGCATAATTCTGTTCAAACCTTACTACGAGTTGGGTCCAGATGAACGAATGCATCGAGATGAGGGCTTGAGGGCATGAGGGCTTGAGGGCATGAGGGCAAGAGGATGTCACAGTGCGAACGGCCTTGGAGACGCCTGCGTTAAACCTTTCAGTCCCGGCGGGACTCAGGAGTCCCGAATTTTCCTCGCGTTTGTTATAGGGCTTCGTAGGAATGCACGACCTTGAGGGTCATGGTAGGATTTTGAGTCCGCGTTTATGGTAGTTCATCACGTGTTCTCAAGATTACAGTAGCCCACAGTAATATAAAGCAGCTGGATTTCCTCTGGCGCTTCGAAAATGGTGTCATCATCCATACATCAGTCTATACTATGTTATATTATACTAGCGGAGCCCCGCACAAATTGCGCGAAATGGCAATGTAGAGATTTGCAGATTTTACCACAAATACAGGGTGCCCCAAAATTAAAGTTCCAAAAGTAAATGCGTGCCATTCAAGCATCTTTCTACGAAAATTCACAAAAATTGGCGTACATACAGATTTTGACATGGAATTTTAGCGTGGAAAGTTTCATTATTCTCAGTTGAAGCTGAATTGATTTGTTAGCAGTTTATTGAAAATGTAAGTTTTTCGAGATCGCAATTTTAAGCCTGGGGGGACGAAGGAACCCTCGTAGATCTGCACAGAAACGCATTTTCGGGTGGAACGGTTCAGAATCAGTGAGGTAGCGAGAGGGGGGGGGGTGGGGGGGGGGGCTGGGGGGGGATGGGGAGGGCTTCAGCTCTCCCAAGTTTGGTTCAAGCTCCCCCAACTCCGGTCTAAATGCATCCGCCACCCTCCCCCCTTTCCGGCGAGAATATGTAACCTCCCCCACCGTTCCGCTTAGCTCCCCCAGGCAAAATCCAGGCTACGCCTCTGTTCGGAATGAAAGGCATTCTGTGCAAGGAAAAAGGATGGCGAAGCGTGCCTTTGGCATGGGAAACCGTGTAAGACAATTACACCGGGAAATCTGAAACTCATGAAAAATTTCTCTATACGCCTAAAAAAAACCTCTTTCATAGGGATGGGTAGTGTGAAATCGATGCACGACCATGTCTCATCCATAGGCATATGCTAGGGCTGTCACGATTGGTCGACGCATCGATACCACCATCGATGGTTGGGGGTATCGATAGTTTCTTCGACCATAGCGATGTATCGGCAAAATATTTTGAAGGGGAAAAGTCCAATTGGATCGAGGTGAGTACAATACAATACAGTCCGTCCGGGCGGGAAATGAAAGAGGCGGCGTGACTCGCACGGGCACGCAATATCTCATCACGATCAAATTCTGGAAATGCTGGGACTGACTACATGAAAGACGGGAAGAAAAAAAAAAAAACGTGTTAGATCGGAGACAAGAAGTGGGGAAAAGAGAGGGAGGGAA